TTTCTGCAATATTTGTTATGATAATAATATTTTTTTTAAAAAAAGGAAGTAAATCCTCCAATATGCGTGTGCATATGCGTGTGAATGATGAATACAGTGTTTTGCGATAGAGTGGTCATATACTGGAACCAGTTATTAATGGGCAACCTTTTTCATGAATTTCTTTCCTGGTATTTTTTGCATGTTTTCTGTTTCCTTCTGCAATATTTGTTATGATAATAATATTTTTTTTTAAAAGAAGTAAATCCTCCAATATGCGTGTGCATATGCGTGTGAATGATGAATACAGTGTTTTGCGATAGAGTGGTCATATACTGGAACCAGTTATTCCTCCAAAATAATTTCTGAAGCCTAACATCTGATCCCCCCATTCCCAGCACACATTCAACACACTCTTAGCAGGACAGATGCTAAACAGTAAGGATATCCAAAACATGCTGTTTCATGAATGAAACATTCCATTCCCCAAATGATATGTGTTGCACATCCATATTAACTAAACACTCTGCCCACAGAGTCACACTATGATTTTGATGAAATCTAAACACATTTGCTTATCAAAAATAATATTTGTTGTTATTTTATTTAAAATAAATTACATATACTGTAGCAGTTACGTTTGAAATAGTTTCAGATAGTAAACTATTAATTTTTGTCTGTTTGGTTGAAAAGAATAATTAATGTGGCTTGGTGCATACTTTGTTAAGCCCGAGATACTTTTTGTCATGTAATTCAATGAAAGCATTGGAATCCAAGTATCTAATCAAATATAGTGACAAGAAGAATGAGGGATAGATTGTAATTTTGCAAGCCAATAATATTACTTTAAGAATATCATAATATAGAAGCTACTCCCATGAAGTAGTTTCCATCAGATCAGTTGTGATGGATCTACGTGCAAACAGTTTGTCACTGAAATGCCTCTTAGTCTGTTGAAGCTGATCAATTCATTTAGTCTAAAATCAGATTTCTGGACTATTTTAAAAAGATACTACATCCAGTTTTAAGTGCTGTCAAACATTAACAGCAAACTACTTGACTTGTTCAAAATGATAGAAATTCTCTTTGAAACGTATGTAAATAATCCCCATCGGTTTTCTTGTGGCAGAAAAATAATTCATATTTTGCTTATTTTTGTTTCCAGACTTCCAGCAGTTTTTTGAAAAGCTCACCTCTTTGTTGTGACAAAATCTTTGAGTAAGTACTTTCTGAATAATTTACCCCTTATTTACAGATGCCAGAGACAAAACTACTTTGTGTCTATTGAAGTCCACATTTAGCAGCACTCAAACATTTGTCAATGACTAAATTAGCATTGAGTGCTATAGCCAGAATTACAGTTTCTTATTCTAAGTAGTTACTGTTGTGATACGTCTTCTAAGAATTGAAAAAACTCTTTGACAGCAATTTAACTCCTGAGATAAGGGGGGGAGGGAATAAATGGAATAACCCATGTAACTTAGTTTTATTATTGCATAGGCATTGTGTAAAGATTATCAAAAATAGGGATGCGAGAAGTAAGATATAATGTAATACAAAATACATTGTAAAAAGAAGCCTTCAATAGTGCACATTCTCTCTCTTCCTTTTATTTTCCCCCAACCACTAAATACTACTTACATATTTATAACTTGCTTTAAACTATACATTTGTTGTTTATTGAAGTCATTTTTTTAGTTGTTTATTTTAAAATATATTTACTCTTTTCTTCAAAAGCCATATTCTAAATGTCTTAGCTTACTTGCTGTGTGATACTGTAGGTCCTCTTACAATCGCTTAAAGGTGTCTTGTTCTGTCCTGTTCTCCACAGAAGTACAGACTTTGACCACATTATGGAGGAAGGTTATGAGCTGGACCTGACTTACATCACTGAAAGAATCATTGCTGTATCCTTCCCAGGCAGCTGTTCAGAGGAAACTTACCTACACAACCTCCATGATGTAACTCGCATGCTTAAATCCAGGCATGGTGACAACTACATGGTGAGAACAGATGCAATCTCTGTGATGTCATCTGTCATCTAAACATTTGATTGGATGATATATCTATTGATATATTTATGCCACTGAGTGTGCTCTGATATAGCTATGGATTTCTTTACATAAAATATTTATAGTTAAAATACTTTAAGGTACAAAATTTCAAGTTCTGCCTGCAAATATGACATCCAAATGCAGTATTAGCCCGAACTACTCACTGTGTGTAGTTTAGTCCAACTAGATTTTGTTGTGTGTAATGTGTGAACTGACCCCAAAACAGCATTAACAGCTTTGCTTTTTTGGAAATTTTCAGACTTGCAGTAAAGTTAATGAGGGACAGTCTTTAGCAGTAAAACATATTAATTATCTGTGATCCAACACAGCCATACTCAGAACCTGCTCCGCAGAATGCCTTTCTTTCATCCACAAATAGATAAATTTGAGATTCTAAAATTTGGTTAACAGGATAGAGTTGCGGGAGGTGTGTGGGGAGATAAAATGGATGTCGTCAGAGATTGGTTCAGCAACTATATCTGTTTAGTTGCGTACTCTTATTATATCAGATCCTTTTGTGGTCTTCCATTAAATTGGATCTCAGTTGCTAGTGAAACGTGTCATGGTGCATTTGAAGTTATGTTTTATTTATGTTGATCAGGGAATTAGTGTGTTTAAGAAATTGTATGCAAGGCTCTGTTGCCTTTCTCTGCTTTTATTAGAATGCAATGTGCTATCATAGTGGCAGTGTTCATTCATGAGTTATTATGAGCATTCACTCATAATAAGACAAGAATATTAAAATGAGTTATTGTTTATATGCATATTGTTGAATGCAAAACTGTTTACTATGCTTGTTCTTTTGCTTGAGTAGATAAAAGGGAATAATTTACTGTGACTTCAGAACCTGTACTGTAATTTGTTGTTTCAACAAGACAGATTAGCTGCTGTTTTATAATCTCAGGTTCAAACATCTCAATAATCTGTTCCATATTAGTTTCTTTTATACATGTGTACAAAAAGAGGAATGAAGTGGGATAAAATAGACTACGTACAGTACTGTGCTATGTATTCACAGTAAGCTTTCTGGGTATGAGCATAAGGCACTAATGAGTTGTGAAATTGGATGTCCCCAAACTCAAAAACACTTGGAAATAAACTTCACTGATATCAGTGGGGACTTATTTAAGTAATATTCTTTAGGATCTAGGCTAAGTCCTATGTAAAATGTGTTTGCTGAAGTTCTGAGTGTATAAATTGAGCCAATATTAACTTTTTCCATCTTACTAATGAAAGTAAATGTCATATGAGCATTTGCTGTGAATTTCAGTAGATTCCACTTATACTGAAATGGACCATTAAACTTTTCTGAAGTAAATTAATAGGAGTCCCAAAGAATCACACCAGAAGTCTATTTTGTTGAGCGTCCTGTTTCTAGGAGTCCTCAGCTACGTGCTTACAGGAAGCCCACTGTTTCCCAGTATGCAGCTGAGCATGTTATCTAGGTTTTAGCTGTTACGACAATAGCCATTAAGAGACCTATCTACTTCCACAGCCCTTGGTTACTTTGATTTGAGATAGGAGATAGAAGGATAAGTATGGAAGTTATTAAATAGAACAAAAATGTTGTGTGTGGGAAGGAAAACACTTGCAACAGCAGAGAAATAAAATCATAATTAGCTCAAATTCTTATCTTATAAAAGAAAGAAAAATGAGTCCCAGCCTTTTGTTGAGCTGGAGAAATTACATACTACAAGCTGAAACAAATAGAGCAAACAGAACTCACAGGATACATTGTATGTGCTTTTGTACTACTAAAGATAAGCATTTACAAGTCCTTTTGATTTGAAAGGGAGAGCAAATTAAAAATGTGTTTGCTTCTCCCACTGAAATCAAGAATGCTTATCTGGAGCTGGATCTCACTTACATTTCTTTTGTAAAGGGAAATCTTGGCAGTCAACACTGAATTATTCCTCTGTGCTTTGTCAAAATCAGAAGAAAATAACTTTGGAATAATGCAAATAACCAAGCTTGTCACGCTTCTTTTATAACGGGTGTATGGGCTTCTTTAAGGGACTACCACATTTGCATAACTTCATTATCAAATGTATTAGATGCAGTGTGTAAATTATTAATCTTGATGCTTAAAATATTTTCCTCTGGAACAGGTGTTGAACCTCTCTGAGAGAAGATATGACTTTGCTAAGCTTAACACGAAGGTATTACCGTGCTCTCATATTAAAGTGTACGGCTTCTGTTTTTTTTACATTGTGAGCAGAATTTTTGAGGAAGCTTGACTAGGCTGCCTCCAGCAAAATAGCCAGGGGACACTTTCACTTTAATTGGCACATTTCCCCAATTTTAAATACCTGCTGAAAATACCTGCGGAAATACTTGCTGAAAATAATGTTTCCAGTGCTCATTATTAGATTAGTGGATTACTGTTTAAATAAGTTATATGGTCCAACTACAGATTCTCCAGTTGTTTTCAAATGTGTACACCCAATGAACCACAAAATTATTGGAGGGATTCTGAATTATCCCTCAGATTTCTTTTTTTAGAGTGCAGTCCTCTCTCACTCTTTATTTACATTTCTGGATTTTTTTGTACTCATACTGCTCTACATACCTAAATTCAGTTGAATGAATAGATGGTGGGTTTTCTTTAATGTTTTATTTTCTCAATACACAAAAACTGTTCTAATTTAGATTAATGCTTTTTTATGTTTAGAGTTTGGAAGAACAATATCAGGGTTGTTGTTACTGCTATTTCAGATCATCTTATAGCTATATTTGATGCCAGGTCACCTGACCTGTTGCAGTGTGCCCATCTCAATGGTAAGATAGGCTACCAAGGTAGAATTAATTAATTAATTAATTAATTAATTAGATTTGAATGCTGCCCATCTCCCCCAGAATTTTTGAATAGCTTAGTAAAACGTCTCTTGGAATCCCTCTGGCAATTGGATGAATAGTGTATATGTCAAGGCTTCTATTTGTAATGTATTTATGGATTTCATATGGCATTTTGAATAACTTTTTTTAACAACAAGTGAAAAGATAAAGACTCCCTCATTGACTCTGATGACTACCTAAGCACATCATTTTATTAAAACCATTTATAAAAGCATTGCAGTATTTTATTTATAGGGAGCAAATATGTTTTAAGGTGGGAGCTCATGAAAATAAAAATATGAAAAAAAAATCTGCTTATAAACTGTTTAGATTCCACCCTCTGTTGATTGCTAAAAAAAGTTTGCCTTTATTGCCTTCATCCATTTCTAACACTTTTTAATTATTCCAGATTATGGACGTGGGCTGGCCTGACCTCCATGCCCCGTCACTTAATAAGATATGCAACATTTGCAAGGCTATGGAATCCTGGTTGAACAGTCACTCTCAACACGTTGTGGTGATCCATTGCCGAGTGAGTTGCAGCTTCAAATCTTTCAGTTAACTTGCTGAGTTATAATATAATAGCTATGTGTCTTTTGTAGAGCTTTGATACCATATATTCTGGGAAATAAATGCATTAATTATATTCTGAATTATAGAGAATTATATTCTTTGATACCATATATTCTGGGAGATGCATTAATTATCTACTGAAATATATTGGCTATATCTTTCATCTGCTTGTGGAAGCTTTGTAAAGAAATCTTTTACATTTCTTGAGGCACATTTGGCAGTTTGAGAAAGTGTCAAAGATGCCATTTCCAGTAATTGCTATAGGTTAGTGTCAGTTGTCAATAGTACTGTTGTAGTGTGAGAGGCCCCAAAACTGGAATATTTGGTCCAGATAGAAATCCATTCCTTTCAACACAAATTTATTTTTTCATTTTGTATGTTTGACATGCAAAATATCCTTCCTTCCTTCCCTCCCTCCCCATGGATAGTCTCTCCAAATTTCACTCTCTTTCCACCAATCTACCAATGTAAATTCTCTCCTTCTGTCCTCCTCTGAATGTTCTGTTCCACTCTAAGAATTCTTTCTCTGGATCATTTCCCCCTGCCCCCCCCCCCAAAACCCTTTCTTTCTTCTTAGGTTTGTACAAACCCTCTAACTGCCCATCCCTTCCCAAATTGTTTCTGTATTTTCCCCATCCAACACACTTATTGAGTAGCAGGTTTCCCCCCTTCTTTTCACTCTTTCCCCCAATAGCTTAGCGTAGGTGTCTTATAGGGTTATGATTCTTGCAGATACTGCAGTCCTGCTCCTTAATTGTCTGTCTGTCTGTCTCTATCATCAATTTTTATGCAACACGATTTTAATAAAGCTAGCCTACAGCACTTAAAAGCAACAGTCAATAGCAATAAAATCCAATAAAATCATACAGCTGTTATCATAATAAATTAAAAAAGATAAAAATATAGCCATCAGTATAACATTCAAATGGCAGCTTAAACATGATGAAACTTCTATGGAGGGAAGGCCAAGTTATTTTATTTATTTTTTATTTATTTGTCAATGTATATGCCTCCTCAGTCACAAAGCTATGAGAAAGGTATATACAGTTGACTTTCCATTAATCTCTCAGAGCAGAGAGATATAGATATTACATTATGTCATGCCCCCATGTATAGTATTTAACATGACTTCCACATTTCCTTGGAGAGGGTGGAATTTCTCTATTTTTACACAGTGTATTGTATATTCTATGTGATATTTCCAGTTACACTCATCACTAGAAGCCACCATGTGACTGTTTTTGTCCTTATAGGGACTCCTTAGATATGGATAACCAGATGTTATTATATGAGGGTTTGAATCCTACAGAGTATCTCCATATCTGACAATTCCCTATAAAGATTAAACTGGTCATGTGATGCCTCCTGGTGGTCAATGTAACCTCAATCATAAAGTGATTCTAGGTGGCTTATACAATGGGACTAAAACATCAGAAAAAATAACAACTAAAAATCACAAAGCAGACTCAGGAACTAAAATATATCTGACCCATCAGGGAAGATAATAACAATAACCATCAAAGAGCAGATCATTCTACCCTACACTTGTCATATAGGCCCTATTGAAAGAGCTAGGAGTTTATGGTTTTATGGAAGCCCAACTGGAGCAGGGTAATAAGTAAAACAAATAAAGGTAAATTGATACATCTTCATCTTATTTTTAAAACTAGCTGGAGAAGACATGTTAGGAGGAGGGAGTTCCAGAGCACTGGAATCCCAACTAAGAACTTCTTCCTTTAGTAGTTTCTGGGCTGTTCCCTCAACAGTGGCATGGTAGTAGCCATTGGCTGCAAATAATAGCTCCCAAGATACAATGTACAAGGGCAGTAATTCCTTTAGGAAGACATGGTTCAGCCTGTATAGGTGTTCATGTGTAATAACAGGCACTTTGAATTTAACTTGAAAGTTTGTGGGAAGCCATACAGTATAGAAGAGAGAGGTATTCCCCAGTCTATTTGATCTGTGTGTTTGACCTTAACTCAGAATACCAGGGGATTAAAGTCATTCAACATGCAAACTATGACTCCTAAACCTGAATCCAACTCTGCCCCTTCTATTACTTTTTCACCTTAATTTTGGAAAAAAAAAATCTAATATAATCCTAAATAGTTTTTGGTAATAGCTAGACAGTTTAATGATATAATTTTCTTTGTTTCTTTTACAAATAGGCAGCTATGCCATTTGTACTGATTTATAATCAGCTCTAAATTAGCTATCATGTTTGCTGGCTTTCTTCTCTGAGTAATTTTGAAACAAGTTAAGACTAATAGAATTGCTATTAGTAATATGTACTGAATGCATGCTGTATGTTTAATAAGGTTTCAAAACATTGTGAAAGTGCTCATTAAATGCAACCTTGGCTATAAATCATAAGTATCAGAAGAAGTTTTATGTGCATAATATGTGTTGGAAAACATGCATTTTTCAGAATATTTCATAGCACACTGTGTAAGAAATTGTTGAGATGCCTAGACCTGTTTTAGAATAGCTAACAGAATACTGTTAACATTATATTTGAATTTCTTTTCTGTAATTATAGCTTTGTTATGATCCTAAAATGTCATGTAAAATGAAAACATTGTCTGCAGTTATTAAAAAATAGAGTAAACATAAAATATGTGGTTGTTTTAACCAGTCTAAGAAAATAAAATATGTTTATGTTTTATGTTGTACAGGGTGGAAAAGGAAGAATAGGGGTAGTGATCTCATCCTATATGCACTTCACAAATGTATCTGCAAGGTAAGGTACAAGACATTTAATGATTATTTGATTATTTCCTAACTATTTTCAATCAGAATCACTAAAATACCTAAAGATAACCAGTTCAAGGTTTCTGTTTCTTTGCCATCTCTAGTGTACCATGAATAAAATCCAGAGCTGGGCTATGAGACAAATATGTGTGACTGTAAATAGTGTTGAGTTGGCTCCTAATTGTTCATTTTCAAGCATAGTAAGAGGGAGCCAAGAGATTGCAATTTAGGGTTAGGGCTATGGTTCTACCCCCTCTGTTATATGGAAGTGAGAGTTGGTTATGGTCCTGAGGTGAGAAGAAGCCAGAACTGGGGTTGGGCTCAAATTTCCAATCTTCCTCACCTGAGAGTAGCCCACATCCCAACTTACCATGATCTTTTCTATCATCTCTGTTCCTCCTTTGACCTCAATTGCTTCTGCTAACAGGCACACATGCTTCCTTTTCAGACTCACTACACTCCAGTCTCCATAGCCACTCATGTTCTCTCTTCAAGGAGCTGACAACCTACTACCAATTCCACACACATGGATTTCTCAACTACAGCAGTCCCTGATTCTCCCAGCTGCTGCTCTGACCTCTCTGTGTCCTCTAATCTTCTTTCCTTCTCTACCACTTTCTCTTCCATATTCCTCTAATTTATAATAACAATCACCTTACTCCACTGGAAAAAAAGGATTCCACTCTCTTTTACTAAATGTTTGCTTTCACTTCTTCCTCCTGAACTACCTTTCTTTCAATACCACTTTGAAAATACTGATATTCTCTCTCTCGCCCCCCACCATTCAGTACAGAGTCTAGTATGAATTTTACAATTCTCCCAGAATAATTGTGAAAGCAAAAGATGTAGAACATGACTTTTTGAATTATTTCTAACCTTCTGTTGTACCATTGCAGTGGTATATTTTAGCTGCCTCCTACAGCCATCAAATGACTGGCCAGCTATCTGTTGACTTTAATGGCAGCCCACATATGAAGCCGATGATGGAGGAGGAGAAGACAGTGTGCTTTAAAGGAAACAGAATATTTCCACTCTCTAAGCAATAAAATCTTTATTAGGAGAATGAATCCATCAGTGTAAACCAGTGTTTCTCAACCTTGGCCACTTGAAGATGTATGGACTTAAGCTCCCAGAATTCCCCAGCCAGCCATGCTGGCTGGAGAATTCTGGAAGTTGAAGTCCACACATCTTCAATACCACACATTTTCAAGAGCCCAAGGTTGAGAAACACTGGTTTAATCTATCCATTGGTTGGGCTGCCCCCCTCCCCAAAAGCCCTTCTGCTCAACCTACCCATTGGCTAAAAAGAAGTTGTATTAGCCAATGGGTAGACACGACCACCTGAAAACCAATTTGCTTGAATACTTTATGTTTTTGAGTGGAAAAGAAACCACCCCAAACCTGCTTAGAAGAATAAACTTTTCCTCCAGCTAGGTATGGTAGTTCAGGGCAAACGTGAAGTGCTCTTTGGGGGTGGAATAACTGAAGCATATTTAATTTTACATAACAATAATAAATTTGTTGCATATGTGGGAAGAAATATAGTACCTGTCTACAGCTCTTTAAAGCCATAAGAGAGCAGTTGCCCAGTCTCAGGCTGCATTAAAGAATTGTAGACAGATGTTACATTTATGCTCCCATGTGAATCAAAGCATAGCCCTCTCAGGATTGTCAGGCACCTCTGTTTTTTCTCTTAAAATCCCAGTTTGAAAATAAGACCCTTAGTTGGAACAAGCAGATGTACCATTACAGATTAAAAATGAGGACTCACTTAAAAAAGAAAAGAAAAGAGAAGAAAATTTGTCTAAAATAATGTAGCTAAAAATAGCTTTTTAAAAGCAAATTTAATGCAGAGCTATCACCTCTTATGGTAATAAATTTGTAATGAAGAATATGGATTAAAAGGTAATTGGAAAACTCTGGTATGAGATTAGAGGAAGAACCATAGTTAATTTAGAAAGATTCTGAGAGGTGGATTAAGAAAACAAACTTTCACATAAAAAGAAGCTACACAGCAAGAACAATTTTCTCCTTTTTTCCTATTTTTATAAAGAAGCCATATTGAGTATGTTAGCATGACACAGATGTTGCAAACTGGTTTCACTATCAATATCCCAGGAGATCCTTCCCTAAAGAGGAACATTTTCAGATTGCAAATTATTTGCCTTAAGGTTGCCATGTTGTCTCTAGGCAGCACAATGGTTTTTTTTCCAGCTAGAACAATCCAAAGAGGCCTGTGAGGATTTTAGGGTCCCTAATCAGATTTGGTCTAGCCGGTACATTGCATTCAGATGGCTCACTGCTTAGAGAAGGAATTGCTAAACTAATTCCTGGCTAAACTGTCACTTCAGGGGCTCTGTCATCTGAACATAGAGGTTATAATTCAGTTATTAAATAAATATGATTGCCTAGGGGGCATCTTAGATTTTGAAAAATTGGTGATTTCTAATGAAACTAGGAAGGATTTAAGTAAGATGCATTCTGTGTTTGCAAGAGTAACACACACAGTTTATACTTTGATCCATATTAAATAATTCTTTGGGTGATTTATATTATATTAATATTTGAAATATTCTATGTTATTTGCAGGTGGTGTTTCATTTCATTATAGACCAAAAATAATATTATATTATATTATATTATATTATATTATA